GACTGCGCGGAATTTATGCGCGCACGGTTCACTGTAATATGTATTTGTATAAAACATTCAGTATAATATAATAAATATTGCATGTAGTTGAGTGTAACATTGAAAATTTTCACCCCTCGAAAAACATTGTTTTCTTGGGGTGAAAATTTTCTATGTTACACTCAACTACATACAATATTTATATAAGAGTAAGCACGCTAAGTTCATAACTATGATAAGCCATGGTGCCTCTTTCAAAATTGTAAATTGTGAATTCCATGGCCTCTGGTTTAATACACGAACCAAATTTAATTGTTTGAAAGTTATACAATACTCAGGTGACCTATAAGGCCCGTGGGCCTCTTGTTTTTTATACTCCGCTTGAAAAGCTGGAGGGTATATAGTAATCGTTAATTCCGTCTGTACGTCCGTCCGTCTTTCCGTCCGTCTGTTACGCTTTGGGGTACCCATCTCTTATCCGCAACTCCTCTCATACCTCAGAATGAAATTTGATGAAACTTTCACAGAATCTTTATTACATATTGCCATTGTGCACCTCCTATTTTACTTTTTGATCCGACACATATTTTGGGTTTCCCGGCCACAGGAAAACATGGACTCTTTAACCAGTTACAACCATATGGGAGGCGGGGGGTATCATTTAGTGAGCTCATCGCTCACAGTACCTCTAGTTTTTTTTGACTGAGCTGCAAAATTAGAAAGGATTCAGTTCAATAATGCTTTTCTTATGTATTTATAAATGAAATGTATTTCTTGAAATTTTAAATGACATATCTTAGGTTAGAACCTTGAAATTCTTACATTTCCGTCACCTCTTCTTTCCTTTATACACATTTTTAAAAAATGGAGAGAAGACCCAGAGACCACGAAAAAATGAACTTTTTCCAAAAAAATCCAGTTTAAACCATATGTATACGTGAAGAGGTGATAGCTCAGTAAGTATGGCTACCTGTTCATTGCTCTCGAAGTGAAGAGTTTTTGGTTCGAGCCAGGCATGGGGCGTTTTTTTTTTTCATGCAAACAACCATTTAATTTGTCAGTTTCGTTTTATGTATTGATGTATTTAAATTTTGAATTAGATAAATTTTGGTTCAGTTTGGTTCTCGAGCGAAATCAATTTCAATCTTCTTTTTTATAATGTACACGGATGTACACGTATCATGCTTGTATGTATTTAATATTTTAGGTGCTTATTTTTTGTGAAACATTACTATGTTATAGTACCCCCTAGGAAAAACGGACATAAATGTTACAATCTCACAAGGTCTTTCAAACTAATTGAAAAAAAAAACTATGGACGTGTTTGTAAAATATGACCAGCTATGTTCAGCCAACCGAATCATGGACATTTAAACCATAAATGTTTCGTACAAATGATTCCGGCAGATCACCCGCTAAATGCGCCCATCTTATTTGGTAATTTTTTGCATTTTGAGATGCCCCTTCTGGTAACAAGACGGTAAAATTTTGTGTTTCTTACATATATTGTATAATTTAGTATTACTCATCAAATATTATAGTTTGAACAAAATGTCTATTGTAGTATTTGTATAATTTGAATTTAAGTGCTAAAAATTGGCATTTTCCTATAACAGAAAAAATATGGATATAAATAAACAAAGAATTTAGCAATTATCTTGGGACAGAATTGTGGTTATATAGAGAAAACTTAGTTCTACTGGTTAAAGTTCAAAAGAATTTATGGGACTGTAACTAAGAATGTGTACATCCATCTGTCTGTTTGTAAACAATTTTTCATAGTGCTACTTCTACAGTTTTGGTATCACTTCAAAAAACACAAGTAGACTACATTAAGATACATAATTATGTTTTTATGTTTGATTAGCAGTGTTGCGATGATTACTAAATATTGAAATTTCCTTCATAATAAAATCACCCAAAGCAACAGAGTGCTTTGATTCATCTTTTTCACATTGTTCATATTGCTCTGCTTCGCCTGGATCTCAGTGTCTTGTGAAATTCCTACAAAGTGTTTTACGCCAGACACTTTGCTTAAAGAGACTTGTTTCAATGTAAAATCACACTTTAGCAATATACAAATAGGAAACAATGTATTTGTCCCCACATTACAATTCCATCACATGATTAATACTTAATAAGAGAAATGGATTGACAGTATATAATGCTTTAATTCTGTCCTTTATCTTAAAGGTTAATTTACATTTTGATATGCCAAATAGGCCCTGTCAATTTCTTAAAAAGTTGTTTATTGAAAACAATACATGGTTATAAAGTTTAACTTCTAATTATACCCCCGCTCCGAAGGAGAGGGGGGGTATACTGTTTTACCCTTGTGTGTCTGTCCGTCTGTCCGTCCGTGTGTCTGTGTGTCCGTCCGAAACAAATATTTCGTCAGTTTTCTCAGCAACTACTCAACGAAGATGCTTGAAATTTTAACACAATCTTCTCTGAGGCATGCCATACGATGGGATACATTTTTGTTTAAATCCGATGTCAACTTCCTGTTTGTCTGTGCGTCTGTCGGTTTCATACATAACAATTTTTCTTCATAGTTTTCTCAGCAACTACTCATCGCAGATGCATGTAATTTTAACACAATCTTCTCTGAGGCATGACATACGGTGGGATACATTTTTGTTTAAATCCGATGTCAACTTCCTGTTTGTATGTCCGTTTCATACATAACAAATTTTCGTCAGTTTTCTCAGCAACTACTCATCGCAGATGCATGAAATTTTAACACAATCTTCTCTGAGGCATGACATATGGTGGGATACATTTTTGTTTAAATCCGATGTCAACTTCCTGTTTGTATGTCCGTTTCATACATAACAAATTTTCGTCAGTTTTCTCAGCAACTACTCATCGCAGATGCATGAAATTTTAACACAATTTTTTTTGAGGCATGACATACGGTGGGATACATTTTTGTTTAAATCCGATGTCAACTTCCTGTTTGTCTGTGCGTCTGTCTGTTTCATACATGACAAATCTTTGTAGCAGTTTTCTCATTAGCTATTCATAGCAGATGCTTGAAATTTTATTACTGACTTTGTTGAGGCATGCCATATGGTGGGATTAATTTTGATATGAATCTGATGTCAACTTCATCTGCCTGCCTGTAAACAGTATATTAACACGATAGTGCTTATTTACATCAGAGCGGCGTTATTACTAGTGAGCATTGGCTCACAGATTTCTTGTTATATTAAACTTTTATTTTCAAATACAATCTTGTCTCTAATCATTGTCAATTCTCTTATGCACAATTTTTAGATTTTACAATGTTTGTAGATACTGAACTAACTGATTGTGAAAGTTTATACCAAGGGGTGCATTTACATAGTTGTTGACATTATTGTCTGGAGGGAGGTCAACCAGCATGTCATTAACTGAGTCATTTGATAGAATGCAAATGTTGTGAAGAACACAGCATGCAGTTATTACTTTGCAAGCCTTCTGAACCTTCACTTTAGTAGGCCAATGGCTCTTTCAACATTCTGACGTGATGTTGATAACTTTCTATTATAATGTCTCTGGGGGCAGTTAACCTCCCATTATCACGGAAAGGGGTCATCAGGTAAGGCTTCAGTGGGTAGGCAGAATCTCCTGTAATGATTTGAAAAACTAAACCAAGTTTCTTGTATATGTATTAGGGATGTCAACGAATATTCGGATATTCATTCGATGAGTTGATATTCGAATATAAATTCATGATTCGAATATTCATTCGATGAGTTGATATTCGAATATAAATTCATGATTCGAATATTCGGATTTTAAGTATACAAGCATAAAAAAAAACTGGCAAAAACTGAAGATTTATCAGAAATTGAAATAAACTCTGATCGTTGATCAATAATAAAAATTTATTTAAAACAAAATTAAAAAACACTCCTCTTGGATTACCTTAAAGGTGTGATCATTTATATAATTAGAGGTATAACAATGTCCAGTACTTAGAATTAGTTTGTATTGTTGAAAGGACACATTTTTGTTTATGTATACATCATTTAAAATCATTATCAGGAAATTAATTAACTAAAAGTAATACCTTTTAATGTTTCTCTATTAGATAATTGCTCTGTGTGGTATAAATCTGTAGTGTTATCAGTGTACACTTTGGTAAGATGATTAATTAATCTGGAACTTATTAAAAGAATCTTATGAATTTTCGGGGGAATTTTTTTTAATTACATTTTGGATATAAACTCTTCATATATTCTGTAAAATATTTTAAGAATACAATTAAAGTGCATTTACAAAATTCTACATGAAATCTTATTCCAAAATATAATGACATAAAAGGTATATATTGCTTGACAAAAGAATGAAGATATATACATATCATAATGCAAGATGTATTTGTTTTATCGAATATATTTGAAAACTACTATCGAATATTCGAATATCAATTATTGACAATTTTGACATCCCTAATATGTATACATTAAAATTTATTAAAGTAAGAAAACCAAGCATATTAACTTACTAATATAATAACTATTTTCTTTGTTACCCCAATAAGTTTGACCAAAACAACAAAGATCTAGAGGTATCCTTATTAAAATCTTAATGTGCTTTAATTAATTTTGAAATATTTTACAAAGTTAAAATTTTCTCACCAGTTATGAAAAAGTGTGAATTTAAAATCCATTTTCCAACTCATTAAAGATATCCGAGTTTCTGAAAACTGTGGCATCGTGAGTACACCCTGGCCATCCAACAAAGCTCTCCGTAATAAGTAACATATGGTCTACAATACCTTGCAACTGGAGTGAGGGATACCCTTTCCTGTTGATGTAATCTTGATCTCCATTGGGAATATTTGTAAGAGTAATGTGACTGCCATCAATTATCCCTTTGATTCCTGGTATTTTACATTCGACCTCAAAGTGATCAGAAATTTCTTGCTGACGCTGGGGACCTGGCCAAGATATTTCTCGATCCCGAACTGGGAGTAATGCATCACAAAAGTCGTGAACACAGTAAAAAATCATTTTGTTCCATTGTTAGAAATGTTACAAGAGGAAACAAATGAAGAGTTCTCTTTTGAAATTGAGGATACCTCGGACAGCATGACAATGATTACAGATCTTCTTGGATGTCTGTATGATCCTGATATCCATGGTGAAGAATCAAAGTAATATACATTATTTTTATGCATTGATCAAATATAAGGGTAATTTTCTGAAAAAAAAAAACAAATTTATGATGAATTAAAATTGTTTTGTATCTCAGAGGTTCAGCGGAAGTTCGTAAATCAGATGAGGATGACTCAAGGTAACAGTTTGCCTGTACTCAAGTTGACAAATATAATTAACAACTTCTATGTACATGTATGCTGTGTGCTTAAAAACAGCTAATAGATATAATTTATGTTAAAAGGCTTTCCCCAGAGATTCCATTTCAACAATCTGCAGTTGATGTTTCTGACTCGCCTGAGAGGTGAGTACATGTAACACATATTTATTATGGCAGCAGTGAAGTAATTCTACATGTATATATTGTTGAATCAAGTTAAAGTTGCTTTACATCTCTGTGCCTTAGAGCTAACTAGATGTAATTTATATTAAAGGATATTTCCAGACATTCTGTGTGAACTAACTAAACGTGATAAAACTGGTCCGACTGAGAGGTGAATATATACTGTATATTGCAATTTACACAGTATTTGTATAGTACTTGATATATTGGAAACTAAAGCGTGTAAATTTTAGTAAAAAGAAAGTACAGGTAACTTTAAAGCTTTAATTAATGCAACATTTCTTCAGCTTTCCAGTAGACCAGTTGCAAGCACAGGACTTGTCTCCACTACTTCCTGGTAGTCCATTTTCAGTGTCCAGTGTTGACCCACAGATCCAGAATCAAAGGTATATCTTTAAAAGTTTTGATCTCTGTTACATGCCCAAATTAGAAATGCATAATGCATGGATGATTTTTATCATGTTCTTGCCTTGCTATTTTTTAAAGCTACTCTTCAGGGACATTCATTGCTGTATTACATGGTTCAAATATAATTCCTGCAGTTGTAAGTCCAGAAATTGAAATTGGATTCTTATTTCCTTTAATTATTAATGTTTTTTAAAGTTTGTTTCATTGAGTTTCATGAAAGTTACTTTGAAAATTCACTAACTTGAAGGCTTTAATTGAACTCATTTTTTAATGTTTTTTTTTTGCAGTTACACATTTATACACAGAACTCGATTTATTAGGCTTATAAGTAAAAAAACTTGAAATGTCATTTAACTATAGGAGTATTTAATACTGTACATGTACAGTACGTAAATGGATCAAACAAATAGTTAAAATATGTCTGCTTTTGAACAGGTTGATCATTGGCCGTATGTTCGTTTTATGGACTTCAAAAAGTCCGTAAAACTTTGGGTGGAGGGGGCAATACTCCACACACTTCTCCCCTCAGATGTTTTGAGGCCGATTGATGTCCCATCTGTGGAGATGAGAGGGTCTCGTGTATACTATCGTAAGTATCTATAGGGGTAGTGATAATGATATTAAGCTGTTAAGTATAGTAAACTTGGGTGAAAATTTTCACAGATATTAATTTTTGACAAAAGTTGAGTACTGGCAAGTGTGAAATAGATTCAATATCATGAATGACTTCTTTCAACAGGATTTACCAAAGAGACAGAGAAGACTTTTAGAGGAAATGAAATGAATGAATGAAATTATACTTTAAATCACCTCATCATTAAATACCTTTGACACCATTTCGTGTTTTTTCTTTGATGTATTTATTTATACATGTCTGTCTATAGACAAAAGGGATAAAAATCTCTAGAATCTCTTTCATTATAAATAGATGCACAGTAAACAAGGACAATGCCTGTCAAACACTAATATTAGCAACAATATGTCTGTCAAATTTCAATTAGCAATATGTTTTTCCATCAAAAATTGACATTAGCATTCTGCAGTTCCGTCAATGTGCTAGTTAGCAAATTGTGTTTCTGTCAAACAACAACAATACCCTCATGAATATCCGTCAAAAATTGACACTAGCACAGAAACAAACAACAGTTTTAAGAAATCTGTTGATGCAAACTAAAACAAAAATATAAATGTATTTATATAATTTTCACAGTTAGTGAATAGGATGATGTTAAAGTTAATATCATCAAAGATGATTTAGGAATTTGCATTTCTTTGAATTTCTAATGTCACATTTTCCGTCACACAATCCGTCAAAAAGTGTGACAATTGCAACATCATTTTGAAATTAAAATAATTAGTTATTTAAAGGGTCCATAATTTAAATTTTTACATATTTTTCTCTTTTGATGTACATATTATCACTTTCAATGCAAAAATCAACCAAACTAACATTTTGAAAAATTTCTCCTCATGGGAGTCATTTTGTGCATTTTACATGGATTATGTCATCCCCCAAAGCAACACTGTGATACAGCTCACAATATACTTATCCCTCCAAGCAACACTGTGATATAGCTCACAATATACTTATCCCTCCAAGCAACACTGTGATACAGCTCACAATATACTTATCCCTCCAAGCAACACTGTGATACAGCTCACAATATACTTATCCCTCCAAGCAACACTGTGATACAGCTCACAATATCCTTATCCCTCCAAGCAACACCGTGATACAGCTCTCAATATATTATCCCCCAAAGCAACACCGTGATATCACTGGCGGATTTAAGGGGGGCGTGGGGGGCGCACGCCCCCCCTAAAATTTTCAAAGTATGATGTGACTAATATTTATAATGCCACATTTTGGTACAAAACCAACCAAACCACTGTTATTCTGCCTGGTTTTACTCTTAAAATACAAAAAAATCCAGGAGCTTCCGGGGGCTGCGCCCCCTGGTCCCCCCATTCAAAGAATGATATAACTAGTATGAAACACGGCGTACTTTGGTACTTTACTAACCAATACCACTATTAGTAAGTACTAAGTAGGTAAATCGTTTATTATGGTGGCATGTGTTACAATACAATGAGAACTGAGAAACATTCAATACAATATTATCATTCAAACATCCGAAACTATATGCCACTTTTAACAAAAAAATTGAAAAATATGCACTATTATAGTGTCTGGTTTTACTCTAAAATACACGAAAACCAAGGAGCTTCCGGGGGCTTCGCCCCCTGGGCCTTAAGGCGGCCCCCAGACCCCTTGCCTCAACAAAGTTATCCACGCCCCCCTAACTACAAATCCTGTATCCGCCCCTGGATATAGTTCACAATATACTTATCCCCCAAAGTAACACCGTGATATAGTTCACAATATACTTATCCCCCAAAGCAACACCGTGATACAGCTCACAATATACTTATCCTTCCAAGCAACACCGTGATATTGTTCACAATATACTTGTCCCCCAAAGCAGCACTGTGATACAGCTCACAATATACTTATCCCCCAAAGTAACGATGTGATACAGCTCACAATATACTTATCCCCCAAAGAAACAGGCTTCGACATAAACTTTTTCTCTTTCTTGTCCGGACAAGTGACCAAGACATTTACTTGTCCGAATTTCAACTTCACTTGTCCGAAATATTTTCAATAAAGTTCAATAGTTGCAGCTTAAAAATTAAAATAAAGTCCATTTATTTACACGTCATGTGCTTGATTGATTTTTGATGTAAACGAAAAACAAAATTTAATTTAAGCTTCCTGTCAACATAAAACAATTCACGCTTCGGTTTGTATCTTCCATGACTTTTCAGTAGTGTGCAATTAGTGAACTTCGATCCTGATCGAATGTGAACTCAATATTAAAACAGCGATACATATCGGGATCGAAGTTTGAATTTTATGTAGTTTCCGTCTTGAGACTACCGATTTAGTTTTCAACAATCGTTCTTTTTTTGATTTAGAGACCCTTTTACATTAAAATGCACTTGTCCAATCGGACAAGTGCCCAGCAATATTCACTTGTCCGTATTTATTTTTCATTGGTACCCGACAAACGGACAAGCATTAATGTCGAGCCTTGAGCAACAACGTGATACAGCTCACAATATACTTATCCCTCCAAGCAATCCTGTGATACAGCTCACAAAATACTTATCCCCCAAATCAACACCGTGATATAGTTCACAATATACTTTTCCTCCTTAAGCAACACCCTGATATAGCTCACAATATACTTATCCCCAAAAGCAACACCGAGATATAGTTCACAATTTACTTATCCCTCAAAGCAACACCGTGATACAGCTAACAATATACTTATCCGCCAAATCAACACCGTGCCGTAGGTCACAACATACTTATGCCCCTGACAACACTGTGATATAATTCGCAATATACTTATCTGATGCGACGGTGCCTGAGAATCAATTTTTATACTTATCCCCCAAAGCAACACTGTGATACAGCTCACAATACACTTATCCCCCAAAGCAACACCGTGATATAGCTTACAACATACTTATCCCCCAAAGCAACAACATAATATAGTTCACAATATACTTGCCCGCCCCCAAGCAACGCCGTGATACAGCTAACAATATACTTATTTTCCAAAGCAACACAGTGACATAGGTCACAATATACTTATGCCCCCAAGTAACACCGTGACATAGGTCACAATATAGATATGCCCCAGACAACACTGTGATATATTTCACAATATACTTATCTGATGCGACAAAGCCTGAGAAACATTTTTTTATTTTATTTAAGCAAAACGAACTACTCTTTTTTTAGAGATATAACAAGACAGGCATAATATAGGTGTAATTTTAAATTAATCTTTTTAATGTAGATCGAAACATTGTTGTCCAGTGCCGAAATGCCATTCCATTGTGAAGAGGTTGGACAAACATCTCATAAAAGTTAATAAATTTCATAGAGATGGGGACCAGTACCTCAAATACAAGTCGGGGAAAAAAAGGTGAAATTTGAGTGTCTGAAATATTTACCTTTATGAACTGTTGAACAAATTTAAATCCCTTTAGCCAATGATGCTTTACAGATTATTCTTTTTTTAAATGGTTACTGGTTCTTAACAGGAACTAAATAAAGATAAACATCTGATGATCGGAGAGCCTAATTGAACACCTGGATTACGTTAACTAATTGCTCTACATATATACTTTCAAAAAGTGAGGAAACCGATGAGGAGGCTGCAGAGGCTGCGGAGGCTGTGGAGGCTACAGAGGCTGAGGACAGAGACACTATACCCTGCCAAATTCCTGCCACGAAACGTAATGTTCTTTTCATTTTCTTTTTCATGGAAGTGTCTTTATCATTGATTTTATACTGCATGTATGTCTTGGCATCAGTTTGAGAATACCATACATTCACAGATCTGATACTGCACAACTTCGTGAAATGGCAGAGGTCGCTTGAAAAAAACCAGCAGGAGAAACGGACAGTCCAGCAAGTCAGGCAAGTGTTGGAATACTTAAAGCGATCGATCCAACACTTGCCCTGGACAGTCTCCTAGATAAAGCCCTGATTAGGGACAGGTGGCTGCCGGTGGCAAAAAATGCAAAGGCGCCAGGAACTATAAGGTCTTATATGGGTAAATACATTTTTTTTTCTGGATCTTATCTACATTTAACAAGAGCTGTCCAAACAGGACAAAATACCCCACTGGTTTTTTTTTTCAGAAGTGCTAAATCATTAATATTTTATGGATCTAAGAGCAGAGAGAAATGGTATTAAAAACATTTTTAGTTCAAATGGAATTGCTCATTATATTTTTTATAAATGAAACTTAGGCGCATCCTAATAAAAAAAATTGACAAAAGATACAGACCACACACAAGTTATTAACTTTTTCTGTCATTGACCTTGAACTTGCATAAATGACCTTGGTTCAAAGTTAGGACACAACATCAGATCATATGCAATGTTTGTGTGAAGTAATAGATTCAAGTTTTTCTATAATAAATAAAGATTAGACACAAATTTCCTCCAGTGACCTTGAACTTCCCTAAATGAACATAACCCACTTCATGAAACATCCTTAGGTCATGGGCCATCTTTGTGTGAAATGAGAACTTGTCAAGTTTATCCATAAGAAAGCTATGGACCAGACATGAATTATGAAATTTTTCTTCCAGTGTCCCCCCAACTTCATTAAATGACCTTAAGTCAAGGCCATGACACACCCATAGGTTATAAACAATCTTTGTGTGAAATTAGAGCCTACCAAGTTTATCCATAAGAAAGATATGGACCAGACAAGAATTACGTATTTTTCTTCCATTGACTTTGAACTTCCTCACATGACCTTGGGTCAAGGTCTTTTCAATTATATTTCCAACAGTATTGTTCAAATATATCATGAATCTTAATCTTACCCTGGTTTTTGTTAAGGTTCCATCAGGACTTTGTCGAGTTTCTGTCTGACACAGACCACCCTTCCATCACTCCTTCGAGGGCAAAATCCTTGTCCCTAAAGATCCAGAGGTGGGCCTCCTCCCTCAGAAAGGAGATCCTTTCTCGAAGAGTAGAGAAAAGGGTGGAGGATGAGCGTATGTACCTATTAAACAAACAATTACTTTTCGAGATAAAAAAAATCACACACATTTACACAGACACTGCAAACTCTTTAATCAACAAGCCAATTCAGAGAATTTGTGTCCCCCGCATAGGGAAAAAGTAAACCATGCGCAGTTCGGGGAGGGGGTTGTCGGATCCCCCTCACTTAAGTTGAAAATTTATTAAATGTATACATGTTCACATACTGAAGCAAATAAAATATGCCAA